CAGATCCAGGGTTATCAGTAAGAGGTCAGTTCTGGTAGGGGTGATGGTGCCTGTCTGTAATCCCAGCACTCGGGAGCTGGGGGCAGAAAAATCACAAGTTCTAGAACAATCCATGTCATGTGACGAGACTTGTCTTACATACACAAAACATTCAGCTCTCCTCCAAATCAATCAGCTGTACCTACTGCAAACCTAGTGTTTTATTCTCCCAAACACCAAATTCATACACTGAAATGGTAACCCCCAGGAAATGGCATTAAGAAGTAAGGCCTTTGGGACACACTTAGGCCTTACGGCAGAGAGCCCTTGTGAATGGCATTTGGACTCTTATAAAAGAGGCCGTAGACTGGGCTACTTTGCCCTCGGTACCTGGTGAGGACACAGATGGGGACAACTAGGCCACGCCCAAATGTTAGATCTGCCAGAACCTTAATTTGGAACTCCCAAATCAGAGCACTGGAAGCTGTCTATAAGCTATCTAATTGTGGCATTTTTTATTAAAGAAGCTGAATTAACAAAAATACAATACAAATAAAAATATATCTTAGAAACATTTTTAGTGCATGTGTGTGTGTGTGTGTGTGTGTGTGTGTGTGTGTGTGTGTGTATGTGTGCGCATGAACAAATGCTCATGTGCCACAGTGTGCTTATGGAGGCCAGAGAATAATTTGCAGGGGTCCGCTCCCTTTATTTAGTGTGTGAGGCTCAGGGGTCCAATTCAGATCCCCGGGCTTGGCAGCAGGTACCCTTAGCTACTGAACCACCTTACTCACAATCAGACATATTTTAAAAAGCAATAACAAACTTATTTTAAATTATATATGTATGTATATATAAACTTTGATGTAGGGGACAGAACCCAGAGCCGCACACAGGCTAAGCATGCACTCTATCATTGCTGTGCTTTCTGTTCTCTGATGCATGCACACAGTTGAAAAGGCCAATGAGTCAAAGTCATCTTTAATAGAGGAAAAAACATGGAAAACTGATATTTACCTCATTTCAAGATTTACCATTGCCGGGCAATAGTAGCACACACCTTTAATTCTAGCACTCGGGAGGCAGAGCCAGGCGGATGTCTGTGAGATCGAGGCTAGCCTGGACTACAGAGTGAGTTTCAGGAAAGGTGCCAAAGCTACACAGAGAAATTCTGTCTCAGAAAAAAAAAAATTACCATGTAAGCAAGGTAACTTAATGTTGGCATACGAATAAGCATTAATCAATGTTTCAGAATAGTAATAAGAAGAGTTAGGGTCAATTGTTTATAACAAAATTGAAGGGGTTATTCAGTAGAGGAAGGCGTTTTGTTTTGTTTTTGAGACAGAGTTTCACTATGGTGGCCTGTAACTTCACCTTTAGGCCAGTCTTCCCTGAACTGGCAGGGATCCACTTGCCTCTTCTTCCCGAGTACTGAAATCAAAGGCTTATGCCTTGGCTGGCTGAGAAAGGCTTTCTACATTTTCAAACAAAAGGTACAGGATGCACATCTATCCATGCTTACTTACCTCACACCAGAAGGCGTAGAGACATTTCAAGATCAATTTGCAAGCCAAGCGCTATGGTACATGCTAGAATCTCAACACTGAGGCATGAGAATCACTAAGCAGCCCAAACCGGCTTTCTATTGCTGGGCTAAACACTATGACCAAAAGCAAGAGGAAGGAGCAGGGGAAGGAAGGAGAAAAGGATGAACAGGAGAAGAGGAAGGGGCACAGGCCTGGGTTTGTTTAGGAAGTTGGTAACTTGAATACAAACCGCGGGGGGAAAAAAGGAAAGCTGATTTTACTGCTTTTTTTTTTTTTTTTTAAATCAGGGTTACAATTTCTGATCATGATCATTGTGTTATGGTTATTTAAGAGACCAGCCTGCTCTTGAGGGGAAAGCAACATGAGCTTAGGAATTGCTCTCGGGGGGACTGAGACGGGGAGCTTTAAAGCAAATGGGAGAACACAAGCAGAGGATAAAGCTGAGATTGCACAAACGTGAAATACTCTTGCAACTTTCTGGATCAATTTAAAATCATGAGCTTTTAGGGAAAAGCAAAAACAAAAACAACAAAACAAAACCCTAGTAATGGAGAGGATAGTAATGATAAGAGTACAGGGTGCAGAAAGAAGATCAGGCCAAGGCAGAGATAACAGTGAGTGTGCATGCCTCTGTGTGTGTGTGTGTGTGTGTGTGTGTACATGCACGTGTGTACTAGTGTGTATGTATGCAACTGCATGTATGTATGAGTATATGGACATATGAGTGCATCAATGTATATATGTGAGTGTAGAAGTGTGGGGATGTAAGTGTGAATGAGTGTATGTGAGTGTGAGTACGTGTTCAGTAGTAATTCAGAAGTAAAAAAAAAAAAAAATGACAAGACCTGAGAAGGCTGAGAGAGGAAGCAAACAGCCTTCTTGAGTGCAACTCCATTCAAGTAAAATACATTAAACAAATGGACAGAAGTCAATAGCTTTGGCAGCAGAAAGCCAGAGTTTAAGTCCTGTGGAGCTCTTCCTGAGAAAGGAGGGATTAGCAAGTAGGCAGAGATGAGAAAGGATACATAAGCATCCCTCAAGAAAGACAAAGGATCTGCCCTCATGCTACCACCATGCAGCACTGTGGAGGGAGCAACCTAGAAACAGACACTTCCTCTCTCAGTACACGTATGTACATAAAGAGCCACATACACAACAGAGTGCGTGGAGTTCATGCATGCACAAACAGCAACGCCTGGAATAGGCAAAGCAACAGTATGCTGGCTGCATGGGGGTGTAGCTGCCAATTTAAAACACCAAGACAGGCCTGTGAGATGGACCCATGTGGCAGAAGGATAGAAGCAATTTTTGCAAGTTATCCTTTGACCTCCACATGTGTTCTGGCAATTGTGTCTAAACTTGGACATCAAACAGTAGTTGGGTCTGAGGACAGGGCTTAGGGATATAAACTGGAGAATATTTCCAGTGGAGACATTTCAGGCTGGAAACAAACATGGCAGTTTCGTTAACTTGCTGGGAAGTGCAAATGCAGGTGTTTGTTGTTATTAGGAGGTATTTTAATCTCCTAAAATAAAAATCCTTGGAAGGATAGCATGCCTGGAAGGAGAGGTAATCAGAGGCCGGTGGCCTGCAGTAAAAGTGAGTTTTTACATGCCACAGTGTTCATGTGCTAAGAGGAAAGTGTGGCATTAGCTACAGAGTGAGCACCACTTCACCTTTGGGTGCTATAATTTGGAAAGACTGCTCCACAGCCACAGCTGGTCTCAGTACACAGTGGCACTCCCCTGTCTCAGCATAGACTGTGGTACAAAGCACCAGGAAACAGCAGTCTGGAAGAAATGCTGCTGCCTGATCACAGTCAGGGCATGTTGGAGTCTGGAACGATGGACATGACAGCTGAATTCTGTCTTCACAGACAAACTACAAAACCACAATACCATGCAAAGGACAACTCACACTGTCCATGGCTGGAATTCTCTCAAGATAGAGCAACCAGAGGATGGCTTTTCTAATTAGTCCCTCACAATTATTTCAGTAATCAATCCATTAATGCTTAAGTGGAATCTCCAAATAGCTCAGTTTCCTTGTGCAACATGAAATGAGTATTATTTGGCCCACCATTTAAGAAGGATGAACTGGCTTAAACACAGTCAGAAGAAAAGCATGCAAAGCCTACATTTATGCAAGCAGAGAGGAAAGGGGATCCTGGGTAGGCTGCGGAGGAGGGGGGGACTAAAAAGGGAGCCGCTGTAAACCCAGCTGCCTCAGTACCCTAAGTTTTAATCTAAAGGATGAGGCAAATTATGCCAAGAATTTCATTAACACAAAACATTTCTTGACTCTCAAACTCACCCCTTTTTTAATTATGAAAGAGCATTGCAATTACTATCATTCTGCCCCAAACTGTGGGAAAGTCTCAGGTAACTGGGACACAAGGGGACAGGGGCAGGAATCGATAACTTTAATCCGATCATCTGACATTCTGATTGTGTTTAAGCAGAAATGCCTAGGCCCTGGAATTCAAAAAAAACGTCACGCAGCTTGCTGTTTCCTGCCGGAGGATCCAGCTACTGACGGTGATCTTAACACTGAGCACAGGTCGGCCGAAGTGTTGCTGGCTGCTGTGAAGTGTCACCGTGCCACTGTGCAGTGGGCACACAGGATGCTCATCTCAGCTCATGCAGAAGTGGAAACACAGACAGAATGGGGGGAAGACACAGTGGTGACCTTCGGGTGGCCAGGAGGCTTCATCACCGGTCCTTGCTGTGGAACCTTCCACACTCTAATTCTCTTGGGACGGTGAAGGTCTTCATCCCGGGCCACAGTCTGGAGATTTGAATAAATCTCTGGCACTCAAACACTAGACTGTCATTTATCTCCAACTCTTAAGAGAGAAGCAGGAATGATTAAGTACGAACAATGCAATGTCTGCTTTAAACATCTGTTTAACACATAGGAGCAGCCCAGTATTGTCGCCTTTGGTGAAAACCAGGTGTGTGGCAGATGAGTGGAGCCACCCTGACCACACTTAGCACCCTGCAGAAGCAGTCGCTTATTGTGTGAGGGCTCACACGGAACCAGACCTAAGTGTGGCTTCAGAACTGAACACTGCTAACGCATACAAAGATCATTCTTTATCTTCAGGAATATCATATTTTCACAAGATCTGTAAATGGGAAAAGAAAAAGAAAAAGTCCCTATAATCTGTGCTCATGAAATCCAGGGGGTGTGGCGGTCAGGGAACACCTGCTGGGATCTGGTCACCTTGCTGTCACCGGCCTTTGGCAACATTTTCACTCTGGGCTGGGCATTTGGTTTTAGAGCAACATACATGTCTCTTTACATATGAACTCACGCAACTGTTTCTTTTAAGACAAAGTCCATACTCTCTATGAAAAGGGAAATAATAATAATAAAAAAAACCCTCATAGACATCAAGCTTCTGTTTCTTTTATACAAGTGGAGATTGCTGTCAAAAAAACCCTCCTGTCATTGTAAACATGCAACAAAACATTTGGAAGTTCCAACCAGACATCTCTATTAGTGGGTTTATTGACATAACTGAACATAACAATGTATAACATTTATTCATTTCTCACTGAAAGACTTTTCAGTGAAACTGCTTTAAGTCCAGGCTGTAACCATTTTTTGGTGATATTCGACCGTTGAAAAAGGCAGGTGGTAGATACAATCAGTGGGGTTTTTTTTCTAGACTTTCAATGGGCCCCGGTTTTACACTGTGTAAAAGAATCAGCTAAGAGATGCAACTGTGCTGTGCATGAGAAATTGTGAGTTTTACAGAAGGTGCCAGAGGGCCTGCAGGTTGAAAATAAAAGCGAGCGGGCTCCGCCTCCCACCGCCCACGTACCATACGCTCGGAATCTCAAACAAGACCTGGCAGCAAATACAGGATGACAGTCCATTTCCTGGGGTTTATTAGGTTTGGGCCCTGCAGATAAGGCTGCCAGCAAAGCAGCTGTGGCTTCAGTGGTCTGGACATTTACTCATCCGGACATAAACAAAGACCAGCTCATTTAGACCCTGGGTCCTCAGCTGCTGGGACAAGGCAGGCCCGGCTCATGTAGGTCAAACATAGAGTGATTGGGTTGAAGGGCCCTGGACTGTGATGGATTCCCTGAGTCATTGGGACCCTCAGGGGCCCGAGGCCTGAAACAGAAGAGTCACTGTTAGCCATAGCACCTTGAACTGGCTGACCTGCATAGTACCCCACGGCTAATAAATCCATAACTACGGTGACTGTAACCACAGTGTACACCCTCTTAGTGAGTGCACTTGGACCACACATGAATTATTAATGTGAACCCAACCACTACATTTAATACAAACACAGACTTCATAAATATTAGGGAGGAAAAGTATGCCAAATAGCTAAAAGCACAACTAACCAAATACTAATAAATTTAAAAAATAATAATAATAAAAAAGAAATGTTGCAACTACTACTAAAAGGTGAGATTTAATAACACAGTAAAACACTGGCTACTGAAGGAATTAATTTGTAAAATATATAATTATTTCACAGTGAGGGTTAAGTACTCATGATCTTCTGGGTTTAGTAGAAGCAGATACTACTGTGTTTTGTTTTCACATTTGTTTCCCACAAGTCCTTCTTATCTTCTATTATAATGTGGTCAGAGACTACACTACTAATAGATCATCCCCCCTTGCTCTGTTTTGTGGTAGTGGGATGCACTCAGAGCTTCACAAACAAGGGCCACCACGGAACCCAGTCCCCAGCCTGACAATTACCTTATGCTTATCGCCTAACCGTGCAAGTCAGAAATAGGTGCTGTCAGGAAGGGCGGGACATCGATGAAATGTAATGAGAAGTAGGTCACATTTGCACCCATCTAGACATGCTATCAGAATGTGGTAAGTGAGCTGGAGGGCTGGCATGCCCTAGGGGGCCATGGGTTTCCTACATGTTGCATTATTTTAATCAAATCTGGCATTCACTTTTTCCATATATAGATTTTAAAAATAAAATTAAAACCACAGGAGCAAGCCTGGTGGAGAAGTATCGCATGCAGCTTCCTCTTGAGAACAATCTCAGTTAACCAAAGGTCAGCAAAAGGTCACATCCTGCACAGGATAAACAGTAGACGGGATCCTGTCCAATCAAGAGTTGTTGAGTTTACTGGTCAGTTTATTAAATGTTCCTCATCTTGTTGGAAAAGATAGCATCTGATTGTTTAAACCTTAAGGCTTCCAGGGAGCTCTACCAGCCAACAGAAAAGGCTTCCTGGATGAGTATGGCACCTATTTATTTACCCTGCCCATCCTGGCAGAGACCACCAGATTGGTGGGGTCAGTTGCCGGACCCCCTTTGTGATGGTGGTAAGTTCCCCTTTCCTTAACTGGGAACAGAACCCTGCCATAGAGCAAACCAAAGTACAAACAGGAGTCCTCTGGTCATGGTGCAAGCATAAAGCACCCTTTGTAGCTCAAGGTTGGTCAGGTTACTGTGCTGCAATGCCACAGGAGCCGTGCCTCGCCACAGGAACCCTGCCCTGCCACAGGAGCCATGCCCAAGGTGTGCCAAGGCTTCCCACCTTTACCCCATCATCCATTGGTCCCTGCTCTTGGGTTTGACAACCAAAGCCCATCCATTTGCTTTGTGAGTACTGGGACGTGAAGGGTGGCGTCCAGATTCACTTTCAGTACCACTTGGCTTCAGCAAATGCACAAAAAAAGAGAAAGAAGAGGTGTAATAAAACAAGGTCTTCCTCTGAGATGACATGGGGCCACAGAGGGAGGCTCCTCAAGGCCAGCGAGATGGTTTCCACATCCATCGAGGCACTAAACCTAGTCAGCAAACCTTTGCAAGAGGTGGTCCTCTCGCCTCAAGCTGCCCCCGGCCCCACCTCCTGTGCTGTCCATGAAGCGGTCGCAGGGAAACTCAATGAGGTCCGCCTCGCTGAGCGCGCACACGGTGGTGCGGGGCCGGTGAGACTGGAAGCCCGAGAAGTCCGCGGACACACCAGTGCCCATGGACCGCAGTGGCCGTCGGGTGGAGTACATGTGGCGAACGTGGACCGGGCCCCCTCCCTTCCGCCTGGCACGTAGCTTCCTTCGCAGCCACCGCGATCCCCAGGCCCCCAGAGCCAGGAGCACCAGCAGTGCGTTGACAGCCAGCAAGACCAAGGTCAGGAGCTGGTAGTCGACGCCGCCTCGACCTCGTGCCTCCGGCAGGGTTACCAACCCCGCACAGTGGTCCCTGGGGGCCACGGGGCAAACTCTGCCCCCGAGCACGCCCTCCACGCACACTAGGTAAGGAGTGTCTCCGCGCAGCTCGTGCAGTGTGGCCGAGTCGCTGCGCTCGGGCAGGTAGACGAAGCGCTGGAACTTGGGCTGCTGGCCAAAGCGGTCGAAGAGCAGGCGGAAGCGTGCGCCGCCCTGCGGCCGGGGACTGCGGTGCTCGCGAACCGCCCAGCGCACCGAGGCGCTGTTGGCGCTCACTGCCTCCACTGTCAGGTTGCACAGAATGAATTTGTTGAAGTCACAGGGGTCAGATACCAGCGGTGGCAAGCCGACCCCACCATCGGACAGGACTTCTCGCTCTTGCTGCTCCGAGGCCAGGCGCTGCTTCGCTGCGCGCTGCCAGCTGTCTCTGGCAGATGGTGTCCCAGAGGCGGGCTCAGCCGTCGGGGTGGGCTCTGCCTGGGCAAGATTGGCACGGGTGGGACCTCCTCGCTCAGACTTCTCGTGCAGGTCCATGGACTGTGGGACAGGACCCGAAGCAGCAGCGGTAGAGGGGCCCTGATGCTGCAGGCCTGGACCCCGCCGGCTCAGTCTTACTGAGCTTCGGTTGCCTACGAGCTCCTTGGCAGCCCCGCTCCAGGCCACTCCTGGTAGAAGTCTCCCTCTCTGCTGGGGCTGGGGTTGCGGCGGCAGCTCCTGCGCGAGACCCCCTGTAGGGGGCGTCATCCTCTCCCCTGTGGCTGTGGATAGAGGCCACTGCCTACTGCCTGCTGTAGGGGAAGGTGAGGGATCCACGCAAGACCCATTCTGCAGCAGCTGGTCATCCAGGTAATCCAGGTACTTGCCCCGCAGGGCCGGGGGGTGGCGACACTGCACGAAGACGGTAAGAAGACGGCCCTGAGAATGCCAGTCGCCCATCCAGCGCTTCAGACCCCGCAACCGGCAGTCGCAGGTCCAACCATTGCCATCTAGATCTAGGCGGTAGAGAGCCGGGCTGGCGGCGAAGATGTCTCCAGAAAGGGCTCTGAGCGCGTTGTCGCGTAGGCTGAGCTCACGTAGCCGGCCCTGGTGGCCAAAGGTGGCAGGGTGCAGAGCAGACAGCTCATTGCCGCTCAGATCTAAGGCCTCCAAACTGTGCAGGGGCTCCAGCAGGGCCAGGGGAAGCTGGCTCAGCCGGTTGCCTTCCAGGTGCAGCTCGCGCAGGGCCTCCAGGCCCCAAAAGGCCTCTGGCGCGAGCTGTGTGAGCTGGTTGCCGCTGAGGGAGAGCAGGCCCAGGCGTGGCAGGTGCTGGAAGACGCGGGGGCCGAGGTGCTGCAGGTTGTTGGAGGAGAGGATGAGAGTGGAGAGGGAACGCAGAGGGACGAAGGTGGCTGCATGGCGCAGGGAGGGCTGCAGCTCGTTGGCAGAGAGGTTGAGGAATCGAAGCTTGCCCAGCTGGGTGAAGGCATTCTTGCCCAAAAAGCGGATCCGGTTAGACTCCAGGTGTAGGTAGAGCAGGTTGCCCAGGGGAGCGAAGACTGCATCCGGTAGTGCCCCTAGAGAGTTCCCGTCCAGTCGTAGCTTGACTAGACTCTCCAGGCCCTCGAAGGAGCCACGGCTAAGGCGGCCAATCTCGTTACCGTTGGCGTAGAGGATGCGCAACTTGCGCAGCGGAGCCAACGTGCCAGGAGCGAACGCCTGTAAGAGGTTGTTCCCCAGGTACAGTTCCTCCAGGCGCGAGAGCTTCTCGAAGGTCTTGGGGTGGAGAGAGCAGATCTGGTTGTACTGCAGGTCTAGCCGTCTGAGCTGCCCCAGGCGGTGGAAGTCGAAGGCGGTGATGTTGGTGATGAAGTTGCCGCCTAAGCTATAGGTGAGCACGTCCTGGGGACTAGGCAGTGAGCTGGTCTTGGGCACCGCACGGAGCCCCCTGTTGGTGCACAGGAGGTGCTGGGGGTGCTGGCAGTCGCAGCGCTCGGGGCACACGGACTCTGCCCGCGGCGGGAACGCCAGGCAGCCGCACACCATGAGCCAGAAGCGCACGGCGCCGACACCCTCCATCGCCGCCCGTCCAGCGCTCTGCGGCCGGATCGTCCTCTGGGCCGGCCGGCTCTGTGTCTCCTCTGCATTCCCCTCGGCCGGGCCAGAGTCGCTAAAAGGCCTCTTTCGGACTTCTCTGCTGCTCAGTCCAGCCCTTCCTCCGCCCTTTGTCCGGGTGGCTGGCCCGGGTCTCCGCAGGCGGGCTTCGCGGAGCCAAATCAGGAGGCGCTGGGCGCTCGAAGAGCCCCGGGTGCTACTTGTTGCATTTCTGCAGAAAAGTGTTTCTTCGGCTGCGCGTCGGGGGCGGGAGGAACCAGCAAGAGTTGGTGCTTTTTGTTTGCGCTCGAGTCCGGAGAGCTGGATTCCCTGGCGCGGATTCTCCCCGCCAAGCGGATTCCCCCACTGCAGGCGGGATCCCTTCCAAGAGCTGCTGGGGTGCGGCTTGGCTGCAGAGCACCGGCCACTAGGCCCGCGTCTCCGGCGCCTGCTCGTTCGCGGTCCGGGGGGAGTCGGAGCGCAGCCGGAGTGGGCAGCCTGGAGGCCGTGCAGGCTGCGTCCGGAAGGGACCCATGTCGGCGAGGAGCAAGCAAACCCGGCGGAAATTCGTTCTTCCCACACTCTGCCCCCCGGGGGATGCAGGCGGAGAAAGAGGAGACGGCGGAGGCAGGACAGACCCCGGCTGGGGGAGGAGGAAACACTAAGTGGCTCCGCGTCTGGTCAGCCCCAGCCCGGACGCCAAGTGAGAAAAGTAGGGATTAAAAACAGCTGTACGGGTCGGCGCGCGGGCTGGGGGCGGGGGGGTGGATTACCGGGCGAGCAAACGGGGATTGCAGACAGAGACCTTTTTATTTTAGGCCAGTTCGTCGGCGGCTTCGGAGGAGAGCGAGAGTGCCTCCTCTTACGCATTTAACCTACTCTTCCCGGTGCCACCCTGAGGGAGGTTGAGGCAGCACCGACTCCCCCAGCATTCTGCTCCAAGTCCGGGGGAACCTAAGGTTGCCTGCAGAAGGCCGTCGGTGGACTGTTGTCAGAAGACGCCAAGCTCAGTCCTTTGAAAGTGTTTGGTTTTCTGGTGTCCCTTTGCTAGAGTCAAAGGAGAGGCACCACCCCTTTTAGGTTTCTAAACTGAATATCCACTGGATTCCGCTCTGGGAAAGACCGTGAAGAAAGTTCCTAAGTGGGGCTACAGTGATTGTGTCAGGGCCAGATTTGGCGATTCAGCCCTATTAATTCTCCTGCCGTCTTAAAGCCCTTGAAGTAGGCCCTGAACGTGTGCCTGTAGACAATAACCTGCACAGCTCCCTGGGAAATTGCTTCCTGAAGGGCTCTCCTGCTTTGTGCCTGAGCTTGCAGGTTCCACTGTGCTCAGGCCTGAATCCATTGGGGGAAAATATTAACATTTATTAACAATACAGAATAGGGGACCATTTCATTGACAGTTCCTTTAGGGGCAGTCCCTGAAGAATTAAAAACAAGCCAGAGATATAGCTGCTGCTGCTGCTTGTATTTGTCTATGCAAATTAGCTTTTTGAAAATAGCCCTTCCCCCAAGGTGTGCAGAAACTCTTCGTTTTTAGGTTTACGCTCTGCTAGCAGTGTGGAAGATGAGAGGACACAGCCTCAGTTCTTGAGGCTGAGCATCCCATGGGAAGGGAGGTGCATCTGCGTCGACAGGTCAAATAAGAAGATGAGCCAGTGAGAGGAGAAATCTGCAAAGACTCCAATGATTTGAGTAACTCCAGCACTGCATTGTCTTGTTGAACAGTTTATCAAGAGGAGTGATGGAGACATGTGCCGAACCTGGCAGGGTGGTAAGTGAGGTAAGTAAAGAAAGACTTCATGGTGAAGTAGTGACCCTGACTTTGCAGGGAGATGGGTGTGGGAGAAAAAAGGTAAGACACTGGTGAACTACATCCAGGTTACTGGGATTTGCTTTGAGTTTCAAATAAAAGGCAAACTTGAGACACAAGTGTCTGTTTTCCTAAAATGAAATATGAAGTTTATTTTTCAGTTATTGTGACAACCCCAAACTCCCTTTAACTACTGATTCCTCCAGTGAGTGTGGCTGCTGGAAGCGGGAGAGTCTATGCTTGTACAGTGTTATGTACCTTGCTAGTTCTGCTGACCTTGGCCAAAGACACTATCCTTGCCAGGAACAGGGATCAGATGGAGTTTTCAGAGGAAACAGTACCCAAATGCTGCTAACTTTTAGGTTGAACCACCCCCAGAGATCCAGGCAGATGCCTGGTGTGGAACTGGGGATGACAGAAACCAAATCCCAATGCTTTGCATAAGCCCATTTCTTCTCTTCTCTCTGCAGAAAAAAATCTCAGGACCAGGATAAGCAAAGGTAAGGGTTTCTCCATATGGCCCTGGAGTATGGAAGGATCACCTAACCTCCTTTACAGATACATCTAAGTAAGACTGACAGAGGTATCCAATATCTGAAGATAGCGCGCGCGCACACACACACACACACACACACACACACACACACATGCACGTGCACGTGCACGTGCACACACATAGGCATATGTGTACGCATACTCACACATGCATGACCCCGAGCACACCCAGTGTCAAGCATCTCCACCAGTCATCTGGATTGCCAATGAAGTGGCATCACCCAGAGCTTTGTGTCAAAAGATAATTGCTCTTCTATCCCATTCCATTTCGTTGAAACAACCCATCTGCTACATGTATTTAACAAAATGGATATAATGTAGCATATTTCAAGTTAGGAGGCACAGTTTCTGAGGGTAGGTGTTGCTTGCCTCTTCAATCCGGTTTCAGGAAGGCAGAAATCTGCAGAGAAGGGGGTAGCACATAGCATTCAGATTCCTTCTTAAAAAAAGGAGGCGGTGGCGGCGGTGGGAGGGGGGGAGGGGTTCCTTCTTGAAAAGTGCATGGCCTAAGGTCAACTTTACAAGTTGAAATAATTCAGAGTAAACTGATAAGGTATTTCTGTAATACAATATGCTCATGTGTTTAGTTTGTTTTCTGATAACCTTTCTCTTTCCGGAATTATAGTGATATTTTATTTGAATTTGGATCCCAGTCACCACAACCACTACACTCACTTCCATAGCAAAGAGCTGTAACAACTCCCAAGCTGCATTTGCTTGGAGAACTGGCTGCTATTGGCACACTATGGAAAAGCAGCCATGAGAGCTCACTGTCTGGAAGGGAATGGGAACAGATAAGATGTAGGACTAGACTGTAGGGTGATGGGGAGGCTGCTGAATTACTCTGAACTATTTAACTATTGTTCACAGGTAAAGTTGACCTAAGGCTGCATGCTTTTCAAGCAACAGGTGGTGGGGAGGCTGCTGATCAAGCAGCCTTGATGGTACCAAGTGATGAGAATTGAGAGGTGATGTGGCGACTCCAGCAAAGAGCCCCAGGATGCTCCAGGAAGCCTGTGCTGGGCTTCAGAGCTGAGGGTATTACCTACATGGAGGTGAGCTGCTGATGTTGGAGGGGAAGCCTGAAAAGACACACAGTCCAGGAATTCAGGAAGCTTCAACTCTACCTGCATCCTAGGGGTGAGATGTACTGGCTTCAGCAGCAGCAAACAACACCAGCTCACAGGATGTCTTGACACAGTTGAAGAGATGTACTGGCTGGTTCTTCAGCAGCACCATACAACACTAGCTCACAGGATGTCTAGAAACAATCGCTCCTTTCATCTCCTTGAAAGATTTTACCAGACAGTAGACATCACGTTACACTTTGTAGCAAAAGAAATCTCTGCCTAAATAAATCAAATAGACAATGTCTACCTGGCTATCTTCTTCTAGGTCCTTGGTTTTGGTGATAGGGTTGGCAAGTGTGGCCCAAACATTGGATCAGGACATTCACTTATACAACACATACTTGGGCATTGATGAAACTGTTATTCACTTGTATACCCTGGGCATTGATGAAACTGTACAATCAGCATCAATGGGCTCCTTCCCTACATCCCATGCCTTTGAGAGTCATGTCTCAGCTTTCTTCTGATGGTGCCCCTCCCTCTAAGGGCAGAATTTCAGGTCTCCAAAGGGATGTACCTTCCATATCCTGGGGCATTCTTGCTCAGGGTTCCTGGGACCCAGGATTTCCCTGTCTTTCTTTTTTGGTAACATTTTTGTTCCTCCATCAAGCTTGTCGGGCCACATGGTGTATAGTCTAGATAGCCAAGGGAAGCCCAAGAGACAGGTGTATGAAAGGAATCTCAAGACAGGGCTGGTATTTTCCAATGGGATACACCCAAGAAAACTCTGGAAACACAGGGGATGAGAGCTGCAGAGGGGAGCTGGGTGCCTGGGGCCTCCTTTATTGCTAATTCTAGACTCTTGAGATGTCAGTGAGGCCTGATCCCACGTAGCACTTAGGGAATGGGAAGAAGGTACATGTTTGATTGAGAAAGAACAAGGAAGTTAAAGGAAAGCACTTTTTAGAGAGTGTAAATTCTCCTTTAGTCTAACGTAGCTAGGCCCAGTTTTCTAGGAAAAGTGTCTTTAGAAAAAGCAAAAGCATGGCTGTCTTCATTCAAATAGTTGTCTCTTAACCATAAACGTTTTGTTAATGGATGGATTCCAGCTCGATCAGGTTCTGGGAGAGTCACATATCAATTATGTTTGATTGACAAGTCACAACTGTAAATCCTGGAAGGAATTCTACTCAGCAGGGGACCTGCGTGCGCTCTATGCACCTTGGAAGCTTGCACCCAAAAATCTCAAGCAGAGGACACAGGCAGACGAGTTGGGGCCGGTCCCGTGGCACATGTGTGTGTAACAAGGATCCTCAGATGCTCTTGTCCCAGCGTGGAATCTTCTTGGGTTTGCCAAGGATATACACAGGTGTTTTCCCCAGAAACCTGTGGTCCCTACTGAACTTTCCATATAAAGGTATGAAGGAGGCTGTGTTTTCAGCAGCTCCTGGAGCTGGGCTGGGTTGGTTGAGGCACAGCTAGGGTGCAGGATGGGTTAAGAAGAGCATTCTGGCCAAGGCTCCTCTGGCAAGGGCTTGGGGGTGGGGGTGGGGAGACCAGGACATGGGGCTAGCCAAGCCTGCTGGAGCAGCGCCCTGGATTTTACCCAGGGCAGCCAGCAGAGTCGGCAGCTGTTTCCTCACCACGTGTGAGCCAACCCCAGATAGACAGTGTGGCCTCTGACACAGACACACAGTAGGAAACCAGCGAGTTCCCTGTGGTCCCTTACCATGTTATCAAGTGACCCTACCCACACTTGGCTTTCACCCGCTAAATGAGCTTCCTCTCATTCCCCAGTCTGAAAAACAAATTTCTTGTCCTGGAGGGGTGGTCTGGAATGTGAATAAGGGAGCCACTGGTTTATAGAACATCTGCCAATGTGCCATTTTCCCCTTTGGGACATTACAGCAGTGCAGGTATCTGGCTGAAGACCAGAATGTCTAGGTGACAAAGTCACAATGTATGTTTACAAGCTCAATAGATGATTTTTGAAATGCGCACCCCAGGTTGAGAAGAGACAATACTCTAAACCACTTCCTTATGGCTGATATGCTGCTCACAAAGACTGCATATCAGTCGTTTAAAGTGCTTTGAGACCACACGTGTTTCAGATTTTAGAGAGTGCGGAGCGCTCCTCGGCCAGCGAGGAAGAACGACCACCATGCGAGGATCCTTCTCAGAACACACTTTATTGGAGCGCCTCTTGATTAAGGGAGAGCGGGAGGTGAGGGGCCCCGAGGACTAAACTGCAGCTGCTTATATAGGGAATCAGGCAAATGTGCCGTACTGTGATTGGGTCCCGCCAGAATGCTAGCACAGGGAGCCACGGGATAGGCTGAGGACATAAGGCCAATTACCATACTCGTGCATCATAGCCAAATATGGAGTTGTTTACAGCTAGGCTACCAGGAAGCCAGCGCCATCTTTGAATGGCGGCTCCCTACAAGAGAGTATGTGTGTATGCGCATGTGTGAACTTGTGTGTCTGTGTGGATATTGGCATAGATGACATTGCCAGTTTCTTGAGTCCAAACTCTGAAATACTCTAAATCAAAAGTTTTTGAACATCAACATAACTTTCTTTTTTTTTTTTT